TATCAACATCTCCGGAGAATAGTTCAGACCTGTCTTCGACAGCATAACCAGGTCGAAAATTCCCATATCTTTCCAGGTCGAAGCTTGGCGTTTCTCCATTTTTTCCAGCCAAGCAACGTAATCAGGAGTAAGGCTAGGGCCAGACCTGAAAGCCCTAACACCTTTGTTGAAGAAACGGAGGTTGATTTTCTCTTTAGCAGGGTCTTCATTATCCTCTGCATCTTTCTTGGCGCATGCAACCGGTTTGAGTCTCTCAACTACCGGAAAATAACTCTTGATCTTCATGGCCTCAGCAATACTTGGATACAAGGGGCCAGACATAGCAAAGATCTGGTTGGAATATCCAACCGGGATCATAAGGTGGTGTGAGTAAGCATCACGTACAGCGATGTCCAAGGGTTCAGGGACCCTTCGTTGGCCCGTGGAAGTTACTACTGGAGCGGTGACGAAAACCTTAGGTTTGGCGTTTCCAGATGGTACGGTGGCGCTAGGAGCATTGGAGGAACCAGATGCCATTATTAACGGTGAGTTTGAAGACGAAGTGAAGGAAAAAGGGTTTTTGCAAAGATGACAAGTTTGTATGCAAATGGAGAAGTCTGAAAGCTAGATAGCGTAAAGAGTCCCACAGTGGGTACTTACTGCTATTTATAGTAGTGGGGGAAAATCCCCAAAACCGAGGACATTAAATGCCATTTAATGTTGCAGAAGTAGTGGGACACGTGGCGTCTCCCTGTTGTTTTAGCCGTTCTGCAGAAATGGAGGGGTGCAGCGTGCGCCCTCGTTTTTGGGAATTGTCATAATGACAAATTCTGAAATGACGTTTGGCACTGCACGCCGTACTGAGGTGACGTCTTAGGTACGGATAAATGATGGTTTTTCTTGGGATTGTCAGTGGTTGGTAGAAGACAACAAAAAGTGCACAATTTAATTTGTGACTAAGCATGAAAAGACAGGTGTCGAATGGCGTTTCAAAGAATGCCTTTTTCTTTCAGAGTCGAAATAAGGCATTCTTGGGGGGCAATTTGTTAGCTCCTAAATTTGACACCCTTGTTTCATTGATATCAGCCATTAAGGCTGAAGGATGTTTTCGACCAGCTAAGTCCGTCGAAATGACCATCGAAAGATGGCAAAGTACTTAGAAGATTTCTTCCAAGGGAGAAGTTGGTTGCCTTCGACGTCGAAGGTGTTTCTCGTCGAAGATGCTTCTCGACGAAGGTGTTCGATGGTTCAGAGTGGAATGGTTTGAAATTCAAGCGTTTGGAGGGAAAACGGTTTCCAGCGGTTACCAAGTGCAACGTGCAAGGATCTGGAGCGTCGAACGTTGAGAACGTTCCAAGTGGAGTCATCTCGAAGCAGTGTAACTGCCCGACGGTTACTTGGGATGTTTTAGTATAAATAGTAGTAGTCACACAGTTTCTAGCGTGTGTTCACAATTCTATACAAAGTCACTCATATAGATTCGAGTACCCAGCGTGTGAGAAAGAATTGTTGAGAAATGTATGTGTGAAACACCAACTTTATTAGTCAAAGTCATTTACTTTTCCAGAAATTTACTTGCTTTCTTCCTTACTTTCCTGTCGAACCCTTTCATTTAAAGCCTTATTTATTTTACCAAGTCCTTTCTTCATGCAATTTACTTAAAGCCTCTTTATTTTATTGTCATTTAACCAATATCCAATTTAATCAAAACTTCAAAATCAACCTATGTCCTAGGATCAATCTGATCGATCCTGCGAGTAACCAAATAAGTAACCATTTGGAGGATCAGCGGTTGTTTACCAATAACCAAGGTAAACAGTAACCCCATCTTTATATTATGTAATTAGCTGAAATCTTTTTTAAATATTTCAATGAATATACTCTAATATTAATTATGTTTTTATTTAAGGTTGTTATATGACAAATTGATGCGCGGAAATCAATTGTCAAACAGATTCCATTTCGTGTCTTTCTCCCGTGTCAGCGGAGCGATAATTGGTAGGGAACCGGAATCAGTAAGAGAGCACTTAGTAGAAAGATTCATGGCAACTGGCAGTACAAAAAGCTTATATCTTTGGGCGTATAATACTATTCCTACAGGGTTAGATTTTCATTCTAAGTTCATTTTAATATTTGTAATTTTTGCGTAGAAAAATTTCTTCTAAACTGTTGTTTTAATTTATAGACGTCACTGGTTGTTGGTTGCTATCGATCCTATAAAAGAAATGGTCTATTATCTGAATTCGGTTGACGGTGATTGGACAAATTATCCGGATATGAAGTTAATGATTGATACGTAAGTGAGATTATTCTAAATATTTGTATGTATTTATGTATTTAATTATTTCTGTGACATTGTTCTAAATATATATTTTTATTTTGTTAGAGCGATACAAGTATTTCGGTGTCAAAGAGAAGCTCGGGTACGACGGTCTAAATCAAACAACATTAATTGGATCAAAGTGCAGGTATATTAATTTCCACTATTTTGCTTATAATATTTACGCTATTTGATAAAACAATACAACTATATATTCTTATTTGTTTTTCTATGTAGTGTCCTCAACAACAAAACGGTATAGATTGCGGATACTTCGTTATGCGGTTTATCAAAGAAATCATTCAACTGAATCAAATAGAGATTCCAGTCACGATATGGATTTATAACTTAGGATTTGTTTTATTATTTCTCGGATATTTCATATAATTTTTTACTTTTAACTAAATCATGCATATTATGTTTTGTCATGTAGTACTTCAATGAGTACAAATATGCATATTACACGAAACTTCAGTTGGAAGAAACCAAAGAGGAGTTGTGTCAATATTTTATTGAGCAGAGAATCATATAAGGACTGGTTTAGTTGTTGTTAGGGTTGATTTTGTAAGACTGATTTTGAGTTACAATGCTGATAACAATGGTTTATATATAATTTGAGGTACAAAAATGGTGTATATATATTTTGGATTACAATGCATTACCGTTGTTTATGAATTACAGGTTATGACAACTGGTTTATATAAATAATATGCTGCAAACAATGCAGGTATATGAATTATATAAATTATACCTCTAAAAAAAAACACCCTATGAAAGCGCTTTTTGGAGATAAACGCTTTCATAGGTAGACCAATGACAGCGCTTTTTCACATAAAGCACCGTCTAAGGTAAACATATGACAGCGCTTTTCCAAGAAAAAACGCTGCTAAAAGGCAACCTATGAAAGCTCTTTTCCAGAAAAAAGCGCCACCAATGAAAGCGCTGCCAAAAGCCTACTTAAGAGAGCGCTTTTTAGAAAAAGCGCTGCCAAAAGCCTACTTAAGAGAGCGCTTTTTAGAAAAAGCGCTGCCAAAAACCTATTTAAGAGAGCGCTTTTTAGAAAAAGCGATGCCATAAGGGTACTTAAGAGAGCGCTTTTTAGAAAAAGCGCTGTCATAAGTAGACCTACGAAAGCGCTTTTCATTAAACAAAAAGCGCTGCTAAAACCTATAGCAGCGCCACCTTAGAAAGCGCTTTTAAGCGCTTTTAAAGGCCAAAAAAAGCGCTTTCGTAAGTCTTTTTTGGCGTAGTGAATCAAAATTTTGATGTCAATATACACATTTGAGAGATAAATAACACATTGGAGGCTTAAGGAGGAATGATCAATGATTTCTAGGCTGAAGCTTCCTCATTACTTCTGCATATATAATCTCTTTAATTCATTCCATCATTTTGTTTTGAAATATGAGTAGCTAAACTCTCTAGTGCTAGGGATAAGCTTATGTATTTGATTAACCTTTGAGTTGTGAATTGATCTTTATAATTGATATTTTATTATTCATGTATGATTTATTGATATGTGTTTAATGCATTTTCCTTGTTGGCCAACTGTAAATTCTTCTACCACTTCTATGATTATCTGTTAAAAAGGAATTTTAACTTATAACGCTTTGATGAAAATGTTCTTGCTAGTTATCACCTAGGTCCAGGGATATCACCTTGAAATTATATTGTTAATGTTAATTGAAACACTTAATAAGATTAATTTAGGGTTAGAAGTTAATTTACCAAGTAATTAGGAATATATACTACAAGTAATCAGTAACCATAAAGAAGATAATAAATTTCAGCATGAGGGTTAATTTATGATACTAAGGCGAAACAAGGTCTTTCCAATACCTTATAAATTAGACCATTAACAGATTAAGCTAACAACTCATTCTTTCGGTAAGTTGCAACCTAAGGTCACACATTTAAATAACATAAATATCTGAGGTTCATAGTTCCAATTCTAAAATATTATGAAATATATAATATGGTCTTTAATCTTTCGATAGAGAAACCATTATGTCCATTCATTTAGTAGGATAAATGAGATGGAGTAGAATGATATTCCATTGTTTGGATAATTTTAAAATGGATGAAGTAAGGCAAAATGATGTGGTATGGATTATATTCCATTCCATTCCATCACTTATCACATCAAATTCAATCAATTAATAGTTTTTGATTTGAAAAATGCATTGATCATTATAAATTCAAGATTGCTAAAAATTGAAAAAGGTGAATCCGTAAAGAATCTTAGAATACCTAGATTAATAGTATATAACGATAACATGAAAGTGCCTACAAATACGACAAAATAAAAGTAACCAAAATATTCATATTTCCAGATCTGCAACGTTGACGCCCGAGTCTTCATCAAATCTGTAATGAATTAAAGTAAATATGTCAATTTGAACCAACAGATATCGTACTAAAATGAAAAAAAATCAATAAATACCGCGCAAGACGACGAAAATTTTAAAAACACAACAGAAAAAGTAAATCTTTGTGGATAATCATTTATTTAAATAAGAAAAGAGAGAAAAACAATTTTGAAGAGTGATTTCAAAAAAAAAAAAAAAAAAAAAACCAAAAACCACCCCTATGTTATGTTATTATATGTCTTCGGTTTGACAAGCACACATGAAACACCATCTAAGTTCCATCACCACATTAGTTCCCTCTGTTCCTCACTAGCTTCTTTTCGACTCACTCAATGCGCAATCTCACTTCCTCTTGTTCCATAAGAGCTTTCTCATCTTCTCCACTTCACCGCTCCAATCATCTTCGTTTTCTAACCCTCAACCCCCCTTCATCTTCCCCTTCCAGTAACTTCTCTCACTCCATTCTCTTCTCTTTATCTACCGTTTCATTCTTATGTTAATTTCTAACCTTTTTTCTCTATTCAACAACAGGAAAATACCTACCTTCAATTCAGTGCGCCGTTCAATTCCGCCCCTGCATCGACATTCACAAGGTACACACTCATACAAACCTCCCCTTTTCATTATCAAAATTAACCTCTAACTGATTCTGCATTATTCCCAATTCGTACAAAAAGGAGCTATTTTTATGTGGAATTTTTGGGGGAATGTCATTTGAATTTGCTTCTAAGGTTCATTCATTGTGTTTGTTGCAGGGGAAAGTGAAACAAATTGTTGGGTCAACACTTAAAGATTTGAAAGGGGATGATGGGTCAGATCCAATTACCAATTTTGAGTCTGATAAATCAGCAGCTGAGTATGCTATGCTTTACAAACAAGATGGACTCAAAGGTGGTCATGTTATCATGCTTGGTGCTGATCCTTTGAGTAGAGCTGCTTCCCTTGAAGCATTGCATGCTTATCCTGGTATTCTAGTTTGATGCCAACATTTTTGTCCCTTTTATGGCGCCTATGTTTTTGTAGAGTGATCATCAATGACAATGCAACAAATTTGAAACCCAAATTTTAAAAATTGAAGAAGTTACATGACATGAATGATACGACTAATTTCAAGTTATACATTCTTTGGGATTGTTATTGAGAATTTTTATTGGGTGTTTATAGGAACTAGCGACCTTTTGTTGATATTGAACTTCCTATGGTGGTTCACCATTAAAATGTCTTTGACTTCATACCTATATTTGTCAGTACCAGTATAACATGGGAGAATGCTTTCAAGTTGTTTTGCATTGCCTTTGTCTTTCATGGTTGATGATATCTTTCAAGCTCTTACATTTTTCTTCTACTAAACTTATTGTGGTTGAATGGTATAATTTAGGCGGTCTGCAAGTCGGAGGGGGAATAAATTCTGACAATTGTTTGAGTTACATTGAGGAAGGAGCAAGCCATGTCATTGTGACATCTGTAAGTTATATATCTTCTCTCCTTCTTTAGGTTATTCAATTTTTATGATAGGAAATTGTAGTTTGTTAGCTGGTCAATCATAGTTAGTAAGTTATCCTTAGTAGTTCGTTGAAGTGGTTAGGATGTGATATTATAAAAAGGTACAGAGAAGAGAATTAGAGAAATATGGAAATAAGTCAGAACTGGGAGAGTTGAAGTCACTCTTGAAGCAGGCCTAGGGGATTGGACTCTGTATTATTCCCTCATTGTAATATTGATCTAGAGACTTTTCTCAATCATATTCACATTGTTCTCATCTATTCTTTCTAAATACTAGTTGGATCAATCATTTAGTTCACATTAACGTTTGTCCATTGAGAAAATATGTTGTACTAAATGTGTATAGATGAGTTTACGACTCAAATATTCTCTTAAAATATGTATAGATTCATAGGTCTTACTTAGAGTAGTCAATTCCAGATAGCGCTGCGGAGCGGTTGGCCCCAAAAGTGGGATAGCGTATAGTGGGATGACCGCTATTTGAATAAATTACATTTAGTAATTATAAACATATATTTAATGTAAAATAAAAAAAATAACTCAACCGTTAAAGTATTCATAAATCAAAGCACAAACTTAATAACAAACACTCAAAAACCAACAAGGTTTAATCGAAATTCTTAATCAAAATCAACAAGTCTTAATTTGATTGAAAAACCCAAAATTACCCTTAAAACATTTTAAATTTAAGGGATAATTTCGGTTTTTCAGGGAAAAGGATAGCAGGCCATAAACTGCTCCGCTCCGCTAACTTGCTATTTACCCTGTAGTGGTCGCTATAGTGTTTTGCACCGCTAAGGCCCTTCCCATAGCGGTTGGCCTCTGCTCTGCTACGCTATCCCGCTATTGGCCGCTTTTGACTACTATGGTCTTACTACTCAAATCTTCTTTGAAATATATACTGTTCTATAAAGAACTGTTTCCATGTGTTTTTGTTTCATTTTATTTTTTTTTAAGTCTAAAATTTCATAATTGATTGTGAAAACAAAGAAAAGAACATATATTTGTAAGTGGGAAGAATGCACATTAGTTTGCATGGGTCTCCAATCTTGATCTGTATCTACGCAATCTATCGATTACATTATTGTAAAAACATGTGCCTGTTTGTTAGTAGGAAGTTATTCTATTCATGTATTTATTGATTCAATCTTTACAGTATGTATTCAACAATGGACAAATGGATCTTGAAAGGCTTAAAGATCTTGTTCGCATTGTTGGAAAAGAGAGGCTTGTGTTGGATCTCAGTTGCAGAAAAAAGGTACAAATTGTTCTCTTTATATTTTGGGTTAATAGTCATTTACCCCCTGTAATATATGCGAGTTTTGATTTACCCCCCTTTAAAATATATTTTTTTGATACATCCTTTGAAATGTTAAAATTCTAAGTCTTTTGCTATCCCCTGTAAAATATTTTTTTTTTGATTTACCCCCCCTCATTTTTACACGCTTAGGGGTACCCAAAAAATTATAGGAGGGTAATCAAATTTTTTTTTTTTAAAAGGGGTAAATCAAAACTCGCCTGTATTGGAGGGGGTAAATGACTATTAACCCTTATATTTTAAAGTGATTGCATTCAAGAAAAAAGGTTATGCATGGAGAAAAAGTAGAAAGAAGAAATATTAAAATAACAGGCTAAGCATTCAATTCGCAATGCTATTTCACGTGTTCATAATTTGATACACATGTTAATGAAACAATCTATGATGTTAAGGGTCCCAATCCTTCAGTGCATTTGATCATTTAATTGAACATATATTTTCAAGCACTTATGGTTTCCAGTGCTCAGGAAGGTAAATATGCAATTGTCACCGATAGATGGCAGAAGTTCAGTGACGTATCACTTGATGTTGAAGTAATGCAGTTTCTTGCCAACTTTGCTGATGAGTTTCTGGTTCATGGTGTTGATGTTGAAGGAAAGAAGTAAGTAACAACTTTTGATGTCTAAAGGTAATTGCATACAAAGACAGATTCTGATGGTGAATGGTTTCTCCTTGTAGGTTGGGAATCGATGAAGAGCTCGTTGCTTTGCTTGGCAACTATTCACCGGTTTGTAGAACACACTTGATTTTATTTTCATGTGAAGTGTGCATATTACTGATGCATTTTTATGTTGTCAGATTCCTGTGACTTACGCTGGTGGTGTGACTGTGATGGATGATTTAGAGAGGATAAAAACAGCTGGAATGGAAAATGTGGACGTTACCGTCGGAAGTGCCTTGGACATTTTCGGGGGAAACTTGGCTTACAAAGATGTTGTAGCTTGGCATAACCAACAAAAGGTCTTTGTGGCTTAAGTAACCATCGTTGAGAATTGTTGGAGGCCGGGGTGGGTGAGCTCTTAGCAAGGTTTGTTCCATTGCTTCTCTTAGTACTAACCTTGAATCTAGTGATTTTTCCAGCAATCTCTGTGATTCCAGCATTTGCACCAACCATTAACTTGTCACGAGATTCTTACATGGTTATCGGCTGCTAGTATGCTACCACACTAACATCTTTGTGATGTATGTGTAAGGCAGTGCATGCAGATTTTTAAACACTTGTCAACTGTATTCTGAATAATGTAACCTCATATTTATGTATATTAATAAATATGACGTAGTTGTTATTTTATTTTATTATTTACACGCCGAAGCCTGAAATATAGAGGGATCCTATCCTATGTATGTTTTGTTGACATACAAGCGTTCCTTGCTGAAGAAGCTCTATTCAAGAAGCATATCCAGTATTGTGTTTATGTATTATATGTGAATGTTTCTTCTCCTCCTTTATAAGATTAATGACAAGTCTTTGTTTTATGGTGCTGCCTCAATTTACAGTAACTGTTCTAATGTCGGTCCTTCTCAGTTTGAAGTTTGAACAAGCAAGAGGACGTTGTAACATTAGTTGCGGTGGTTTTCACCCTGCTTGTCGATTGTTAAACTCTTTGTCCCTTGATCTAAATTTAATCTCTTGACCTCTGTCACAACCTAATTTTGTTAGTTATCTAGCATCATGATGTTAATGATGCACCTCCTTCAATTAATAATGAAGCTCTACATCTTCACTTGCAAAATGTTAGGTCATGATCTTTTTGCATTTTTGGCTACAAAATACTTCCTCTAAAATCTTTTGATCCATTGCCTTGGTTCCTATATATTACCAAAACTTCAGTCTCTATTAGTTTGTGGTTTACTTTTGTTTTCATTATTGTTCTGTGTTTGGTTAAACCTCACTGCTCAAATCAGGTACTCTCAAAATCATCTGTAAGTTCAGGTTGACTCTATTATTTTAATAACATACTATTTACCAATATGTCTTTATCTCATATTTCTGATGATACAACTATTTCCCAGTTTTCTACTATTTTGTAACAATTTGGACTTTCTTCAGGTAGGAAGCAAAAAATGAAAGAAAAAAAAGTGCATATAATCAAAATCAAGAATTATTAATATTATTGAAACGACTACACCATGGAAAACCAATGTGCAATGAATAGTACAAAGTAATATGCATTATCGGAGAGGGGAATTCTTACATAATTCTTGTGACGAGTATCATGGACATAAGAAATATAGTCATTTGAAACTACACCACTCCAAAAAAATTTAGTGTCTTCACTTACAATCGTAGTTTTAAAGACTATCATTTTATCTCATGAAGAATATATTTCACTTGAAGATAAACCACTTCAAGAATTTCACATTGTCATCATTGACAATCATATAATTTATTATGAAAAATAAATTTCACTTAAAGCTAAACACCTTCAAGAATTTCACATGTCAAAAACTAGGTTGAAAATTTATGGTGCAACTTCTTTGTTGGTTGGAAATTTTTCAACCATCAATATAATCTCACATCTTGTGTAAACTTGATTGTATCAACACCATTTAGACTTGAACTTTCCACAATCAAAAAATAAATTTTCAATCAATTTTCCCTATTCTAAACTATAATGTGGAATTTGTGATTGCAACTCAACAGCTTTTTCACAACACCACCTTCTTTTCTAATGTGGAAGATCAGACAAAACTGCAACCACATGGCATACTAAGAACTCTTTGTAAGTACGAAGTGCGCCTAAGAAGGGGGGGGGGGGGGGGGGGGGGGTGTTAAAAATTCTGGTTTTTAGTGATGATGATTCTTATTTTTATGGTTATAAGTGAGTTTAGGAAAGCTTAAAAATACAGAAAAATAAAGAGACGCAGGCGATATATCCTGGTTCCTCTCACAGTCCGAGAGTACTCCAGTCCTCTTTCAACATGAAAGAGATTTCCTTATTGTGGCAAACTTAAACAAGAACTACCAACCAAACCAAGAACAATCCTCTTGAATTTTCACTAAGTTACCTATGAGAACAATCCTCTCAATGTAACAACACTTGTATCCAACAACTTGGAAAGACAAGATTTCAACAAAAACACTTAAATTTAATTCCAACAATCCTGGAAAATAAGTAAGTAAAAAATCAATTTGTGAGTTTGAGTGAGTAGAGTAATATTGACCACTTAGAGTGATTTGACAATGTATAATCTTCTTCTTTCAATAATAATATTGTACAAAGACTCAAGATATATTTGCTCAAAGTTTTCTGTTTATTAATGTATGAAAATCTGCAGAAAACTTATGCATGAAAATGAAGAATGCTTGAGTTTGTATTTTGAAATTTCAGAAAATATTTTGAAAGAAGGTGTTAGATCTAGATTTGAAATTGAATATTTATATGTTCATAACACCCTTTCGAAACATCATGAAGATCTGGAAATGTATCATGAACAAATGCCAAGTTTGAGTGAAAAGATGTAATGAAAAGGCATGATGAAAAGGCATGAACAAAGCTGCTCTTTTTCAAATTTGTGCAGTATGCAATCGATTGCACCCTTGGTGTAAATCGATTGCACAAGGTTTTTAACAACTATTTTTTCAAAATCTTGAAGAGTGCAATCGATTGCACCAACAATGTAATCGATTGCATGCAAAGTCAGTAGCAAAAATTAACTGAGTACAATCGATTGCACTAACAATGTAATCGATTGCATGCAAAGTCAATAACAAACGTTTTAAAAATTTTAAGTATGCAATTGATTGCATAGGTAATGTAAATCGATTGCACATAGAAACAGAAGCAAAAGATCTGAAATTTTGAAGTGTGCAATCAATTGCACTAAGATGTAAATCGATTGCATGCAGAAGAAAAATGAAATTGTATCTTTGAAAAGTTTGAGTAATGATTCTTAAACATTTCTTTTTTATTTTTGAGCATCTATATCTTAATATCAAAGTTGATAATATTATTATACCTTTAAAATTATTGAGAGCTTTGAATGAAGATATTATCCTTAGATGCTTAGATGCTTGATCAAAATTTTTGCCTTCTTTGTTAGCCATGGTTTGTCTTCATCAAAACAAAAGCTTATTTGTGAAGCTTGACATTCTCCCCCTTTTTGATGATGACAAACAATCTTGCTTTATTCGATGTACTTTTCGGAAGAGCTTCTCCCCTTAAGATGCAAAACTCCCACTATGTAGGAGAGGGTTGGAATCCTTTGCAATTCTTCATCTTGATTGGAGAGTACCTTGAAAGTTAAGACACATGAAATACAAGCATAAAGTACCATACATCTTTCTCCCCCTTTGACATCATCAAAAAGAAGGGAAAGATGCCTAAAGCAAATAATAATAGAGCAATGTATTGACAAAAATTATAGAACTTAAAACAGTAACACAAATTGTTTAAGAGTTACACAGAATTTTGAACAAACGAAATATTGAAATAGCAAGACAATAACATAACAGAAAAAAACAGTTAGCCAGAGCATTAAAGGTGATGTATGTCTGGATGGTTGTAAGACCATGAGCCTTGGTTCGGGAATTGTTGTTGAAGTGGAGATTCTGTTAATGTGGAGGAGGTGCAGCTGGGTTATTTGGGTCGTATGGTGGGATATGAAGGTGAGAATAAAGGTATGAGAATTGTTGGTTCACATCCGAGCGAAAATCATTTATCCGGATTGTAGTGGAGTCATTGATTGCACTCCATTGATTGTTGATGTTGGTGTTCATAGAAGCAAACTGTTGAGACATGTAGTCCATGAGCTCTTAATTGCTTGGACCAGAGGGAGCAGTAGGAGGAGGGGGAACAGCTTCACCTCCTGCAGCTTCTTGGTCAATATCTTCATTGCCAACAACATCTTCACCAATGTAGGTGATGGTCTTTGTCTCCGGATTAAAATGTACGCCCATTCTTGAATCAACATTCTTAATTGAAATTTTGTTTAGGTTAGGATCCATATTCACCTTTTCAAAACCACGAAAATCCACACCAAATTCCTCTATAATCAAAGTGACAAAATAAGCATATGGAAGGAATTTAGACTTTTCATCCACTCTCAGCATATGCATCATCATCATTCTTGCCCAGTTTACATTTACTCCTTTCTTCCTTGCATAAATAAGTTGCATCTCGAAGTCGGTAACCGTGCAATGGTTTCCATCTCTTGGAAACAATATATAGACCAAGAAATAATGAAATAAGAGACCGTCTATATGGAGGTTACCTACACTCCAGGAGTCTCTGGATGGAATTACTCCGCCAAGACCACGTATCCGTTTGGCGCAAAATTTAGCTTCACTTAACTGCCTAATGCTGTAAAAGAATCCCTTTTTCTGATAGCCATCCCATATCTCGTTTTCAGGATCATATAGAGAGCTTCCAGTGAAAGGAATATGCAAGATCTCACCAACAATCTGAGGAGTTAGAGAGGTACGAGTGCCCATCACATATGTGACTATTTTTTCTTTGTAGGGTGTTAGATTACTGAAAAATATTCTTACCAAATCCGGGTAGTATGGACCGTACGAAGAAATCAAGGGTTCCAGACCATAAGCAGCTAGATCATTCTGAAATGAAAAACATTCTTGAGGAAAGGAGGAGAGTATACCATACTTGGGGTTGGATACAATTTTCCTTTGGAAGTCTTTGATAAATCTGAGTTCTTGCTCTTCTGTGAGAGTTGAAAGCAGTGGATTGGATGTTGAATCAACCTTCTTTTTCCCTTTATCTGAAACTGAAGCCTTTCTCTTTGTTTTTGAAGCCATGAATATGGAGTTTTAGGGTTTTGGGGTTTTAGGTTTTGTGAGAGAGAAAGATTTTGTGAGAGATATTTGGAAGTGATTTGGTTAGGTAGGGAATGAGTTATTAGAATTGAAGTGTATTTGGCTTGGGAATATGAGAGAGGAATTCTGGCCAACATTAATTTTCTGTCATAAAAGCTTATTTCAGTGCGTGCAATCGATTGACATACCATGTGCAATCGAT